TTGGTTTATCATATTAGCAGCCTAAAATGCGGACATAGTTTAGATAATAAGATTAAAAATTTAGGTACTATCAACTGCACTTGTAAAATAACTAAATCCCTAGGTAGCTGTTGGCTAAACAAACGTTTAAAATCAAAACTCCGTAGCCTACTAGAGTTAACACTAAACGAATCTTTCTGATATAAAATTTATAACAATTAGTCCCTTTGATAAATTTAGATAATGCAATGAGAAGACGTAGTTTATCAGAATTATGTGATATATTTGCGCAATACATTTCGAACAATCTGATCACACATATACTTGTTAAGAACATTTATATATGAAAAATTAAAAGGTCAACTAGACAGGTTAAGGGTAAGTCATAACAAAGGAAAAATTATTAAAGTACACAAAAACAAATGTGATTACCACTCTGGACAGTAAATCAGTACTACCAGGGTAGGTTAAGTGTAAGTACAAATTGTTTTTGAACACATAAAGGGGGTTTCAATTTTCGTATAGCCAAGGCTTCAATAAACCTTAGTATACGTCCTTGAAGGCTTTTGTACAACACAACAAATGATGATTTGATATCAACCTTATGACCCGTCTCAATCAAATGTTTCGCAATGGATGATGATGTCTGTCTATCCTGTGGTCTTATTTCACCATTGGAATTCATCTGATTTTGCAACCATTTTGGTATATGTTCACTCACCCTTAATTGCAAATCACGATTGCTCCTCCCTACGTACGTGTTTCCGCACATACATGTAAATTTATAGACAAATCTCTGAATTGACAGTTAATGCCCAATTTGAAAACCTCTATGATCAATTAAATACTTTAACCCCTTCGTCCTTAGAGAATCAAAGTTGGTTTAAAGCCAAACTAGTGGATATAGCGCATCATTTTCATTCTTCTGGACCAAAGCAGAGAAGCATATTAACTTCTCAGCATTTCAAATCATTAAAAGAATTGCGAAATAATGCCGATATTATTATACTTAAACCCGATAAAGGATCTGGTGTTGTTATTATGAATAAGTCAGATTACAAAAATAAAATGGAATCCATTCTCAGTGATAAAAGCAAATTTTTGGCTGATGTTGACTTTGATGGATTACGTAAATTAGAAAAGAAAGTGAACTCGAATCTTGTGAAATTGTTAAACATGAATGCTATTAACAAAGATGAGTTTAATTTATTAAAACCTATGGGTTCGGCATATCCTAATTTATATGGATTACCGAAAATTCATAAGCCTAATACCCCCCTACGTCCAATTCTATCTATGTGTCGGTCACCTACACACAACCTGGCAAAATGGCTTACAAAATTATTAAACCCTATCAGAAATCAATATTGTAAGTATTCTTTGACTGACTCATTCGAATTAATCAATTACTTAAAGGATATAAATATAAAGACAAAGACAATGTGCTCCTTTGATGTAAACACTTTATTTACAAATGTACCTCTTAGGAAAACCATTGATATTTTGTGTGACTTTATTTCTTCGGAAAACCTTCCACTACCTTTTCCTGTTGAAACTCTTAAAGATATATTATTATTATGTACAGACAATGTAAAATTCACATTTGAAGGTGAACACTTCAGACAAATAGATGGTGTAGCTATGGGCAGCCCTCTAGGACCATTGCTAGCTGATGTGTTCATGGGGTATGTGGAAAATTTAGTTGGAGACTCAATTCGAAAGATGAGTCTGTATAAACGATATGTAGACGACATAATAATCATAGGTGATAAAATTGAAGACATAAGCCACTTGTTAGAAGAATGCAATAGTAGTCAAAACCACATTTCTCTTACATGTGAAGAAGAGAAGAACAACCAACTTCCTTTTCTTGACATCCTGATTACTAGGAGAGATGATGGTTCCATCAAACGTGCTACATATAGAAAACCAACTTGGACAGGACAATATCTTAATTTTCATAGTCACTGCCCTATTCATTATAAACGTGGTTTAATAAAGAGCTTATTCAATAGAATCAATCGTATTTGTACTAGTGATACTATTGAAGTAGAGATGAAGCTCCTGACTGATGCGTTATTCAATAATGGTTACCCTTTGAAGTTCATAAACCGCTGGAAGGGTTGCAATATGACTAGACCTATGATGCTTCTGGCACCCAAAAAGCGAGTTTATATTACGCTACCATTCAGAGGTGACACAAATAGTCTCATGTTGAAACAGAGACTTAAATTAGCTATCAACCGGACATTCTATGCAGCCCAACTTGTCATTATCGAAAAGACAAGGTGTATGTTTCACCAAAAGCCCAAACAGCATGAAAACGATTGTGTCACATCCCATTGTGTCTATAAATTTACATGTATGTGCGGAAACACGTACGTAGGGAGGAGCAATCGTGATTTGCAATTAAGGGTGAGTGAACATATACCAAAATGGTTGCAAAATCAGATGAATTCCAATGGTGAAATAAGACCACAGGATAGACAGACATCATCATCCATTGCGAAACATTTGATTGAGACGGGTCATAAGGTTGATATCAAATCATCATTTGTTGTGTTGTACAAAAGCCTTCAAGGACGTATACTAAGGTTTATTGAAGCCTTGGCTATACGAAAATTGAAACCCCCTTTATGTGTTCAAAAACAATTTGTACTTACACTTAACCTACCCTGGTAGTACTGATTTACTGTCCAGAGTGGTAATCACATTTGTTTTTGTGTACTTTAATAATTTTTCCTTTGTTATGACTTACCCTTAACCTGTCTAGTTGACCTTTTAATTTTTCATATATAAATGTTCTTAACAAGTATATGTGTGATCAGATTGTTCGAAATGTATTGCGCAAATATATCACATAATTCTGATAAACTACGTCTTCTCATTGCATTATCTAAATAAAATTCATAATTAAACTAGGCGTCTCAGATTCTTTAACGTTACAAATTTCTGATAATTTCGAATCACCTAAAGCAACAATACCTATTTTTACACTGACTAATCCTCAATCAACACTATAACTAGTTAAACATAATAGTTTCAGGACATCGTCATAAAGCATTGTCATGACTCGACAATCACGTAATATGATTGATAAAATTATTGAAATTATTAACAAAATCGGTCAGCAAATTGACTTATAATTATCACTAGTGTTGTTTTTCTTTTATCTTCATTCAATACAGATGATTACAGTATGTTTCTCTATCAGTTGCTTATTCAGTAAATATCTCAAAACTTTGTCAGTCTAATCGATGGTTTAGCGGCACAATCATGCATGCAAATAATCAGTATAAGCAGTCGAGCAAATCTCCTGCAAACTGAAAACATCAATGTCGAATTTACCCCAACACTGACTAAGGTTCAAGCCATTATCATAGACATGAGTTGGGAGTGTACTCACCTTGGTTACAGCTTATGTTCTCCCTGATAATCACATGAGCATCACTCATTATTAATCATCTTGTAAAAACTTATTTAGCTAAATATATCTTGCAGCACCACATCACTTCGTAATATGACCCATAGGCTTAACTGATTTTAATAACTTTTAACCACTATATCTCAATTAAATCGTATTCCGCCTTATGATAAACTACATACTTGCAACTAACTTGTATGCCCAATCAGCCAGCAAGTATAACTATAAATAAATAGTCTGCCGTAGATCAGAACATTGAGTCTAGAGCATGTCTCTTACGAACACACTCATGTTTAACGATTTGTTCCTAGCTATCTGTCCAAAATTCATATAATTATCACTCATGTATTTAAATTTTATTTTGATAGCCATTCACGTGTATTAGTAGTATTAGTAAATTCTATCACGGTCAAGTAAAAATGAGGTTGAGAAAATCTCCCCGTAACTAAATAAACCATATCAAACTAACTGGAACACTAGTTAGAATTCTTCTCCACGGTAATACTTTTGTTCCTTCAGTTAGCCTACTAATACAAATGCAATTGGAATTCAACTCAAATGGACAACTTACCGGCATAATGGTTGTTTGATTTCACAATTTAAACCAAAACTAATACCAATATTAACATTTCCACAACATTCATTACTTTAATATTTCTAAACACAAAATACTTACTACCTATATGTAAAGTTACTAACCAACGGCTATTAACACGCATTGTTTTATTATTATTACTGTAATCCCATTCTTTATAGTTCAAATGATCTTCACCCGAATTGTCATTTTAAGTGTGTTAAGCATGAAGGCAGATATTTTAAAATTATTACATGTATTTTCCGACCAGATGCTGCCGTCTTTTTTATTTCTTTTTCAGCTTATCAATACCCGGAGGATCCTTATTATCCTTGGTAACCTCCGGCGCGCGACGATCCCATCCAATTTGGTATCGAACCAACATCACGTTGATTCTGGTGGGAGAGTAGCGTAGTGGCATTAGACCATATCCACACAATCTTCAAAGCTGAACACAACACTACTCAGAAAATAGATATTCAATATTTAACACGGAGAATTACCTACCAATGAAAAAGGCGGGAACAATGAAAGGAATGAACTGGAGTTGATCGAGTGGCATGGCTCGGCCATGCAGGCGTGGTCTCTGCTGAATGTTACCTTATATCTTCTATTCATATTAAATATATTGTTCTTTCTCTAGCCTAACCTTGTTCTACATCATGTATTGGTAATTGATACGATACAGTGAGTTGGTGTAGTCGATGGTATGACTTCCACGTAAGATCTTATAGATTAGGCAGTTATATCATGACAAATCTACAAATTTAGGATTAGGTCTATTATTAGAGCAGTAGTAATGTCGTAGTAGACCATAATTCTACAGTATCACAACGGAAAAATTCTTCAAGATCATTGACTAAAACAACACGTACAGTCATTTAATGATGAATGTACATACAGTGAAAATTTGCAAAACAAATACAAATAATATTAAAAACTATTTACAAAATCAGCTTATCAGTCATATATCCACAAAGCTCTTCACAGAGTGTCCGAAGGTAACACTGGTTACAATAACAACAGATTCGGATTTGTGTAGTAAGGACAGAAGGCCTACGGCCTATGTTATTCCTTTTCTAGTATGCTTCTGTGAGTGTCCAGTCTTCTCTTGAAAGAGTCAATTGAAGGTGCGGATACCACTGCTTCAGGCAGCAGGTTCCAAGTATTGATGACTCGGTGTGAAAACCTGTATGCCAGGGGTATTTTGTTCGTTCTTGGCTTTTCTACTCGCCTGCTATGTCCTCTGAGGTGTCCCGATCTAGTGGGAAGAAAGAGAGAGAATAAGTTAGGTCCGAAATCATTTCTCAGTATTCTGTACATCAATATTAGATCTCCCCTTAGTCTGCGATAGGACAGTGTAAAGAGGTTCAGTTTTTCAAGCCGCTCTTTATATGATAAACCCCGGAGTTCCGGAATTGCACGCGTAGCTGCCCTCTGTACCTTTTCTAGTATGTCTGAGTTCCCTTTTAAACAGGGGCATGCAGCCTGAACACAGTTCTCTAACTTAGTTCTCACTAAGGATGTGTATAATGTGGTAAACATGGTAGTATCAAGCTTAGTGAATGTCCTTTTTAAAGCCCAGAGGGTTCGAAACCCCTTAACTGCGACCTCCCGGCAATGGGTCGTCGTCTTAAGATCATTGCTCACTGTCACCCCTAGGTCTTTATGAGACCGGACTACGGGTAATGACACATCCCCTATGTTGTACGTATTAACCTTTGAATCCCCCAAGTGCATGTAGACACACTTTTCCGAGTTGATAGGCATTAGCCACTCTTTAGACCAGTTTATCATATTATTTAAGTCCGCGTGAAGAGTAAATGCGTCTGTGTCTCCAGTTATTACTCGCCAAATTTTTACATCGTCAGCGTATAATAACATTGGAGACTGTACTATACTTGTAAGATCATTAACGTACATTATAAAAAGTAAAGGACCTAGGACGGAACCTTGGGGTACTCCACTAAGTACTGGTCTCCAGATGGAGCACTTGGAATTCATTCTTACTTTTTGCCTACGACCTACTAGGAAATTCTTAATCCATTTTAAAAGAGGTCCGGCAATACCAAGTTTGCCAACTTCAATAGCAGTCTATTATTATATTGACTTTTTCATCGGTAGCTGTGTTATTTACAAATTTTTGTTCATAAGAAAGCGTCCAGTTAACTATTCGAATAAGAAGTTTTATATATACGTAGCAGAAACAGAAATATAAGTTAAAATATACGGTAAACATTTAGCAAAACGGGTAGCCGGATAGCAATGACAAAAAGGAAAGATACTTTGGAGTTTCACTAAAACAGAAACTTGAGAGTTACATCTTGGGTCGACCCACCAGGATTATACAGTAATTTTGAGTCCCCATAGGCATAAAAACTAAATATAACGAGTGGTTGACATCCACTATGTTATGACATTTTACCGTACGCCGACTGACTTTTATACGCTTGGACCATGCCACAGAAAAACAATTCCGGGTTTCTGACTGAGTTTACCCTAATGAATCCAAACACTCGACTACTGTAACCACAAACTGAATTGAGGCATTCAAACAGACTTATGTATCCTTGCTGAACGTTCAGCGATATTGAGTCCTTGGTTCCTGCAAGTGAAATAAAGTTAGTTTTGAATTCCAATGATTATTCATCTCGTTAATTAACGAGAAGCCGATAGCCGCTTTATGTGACTGTTGATTAAATTCCTTTCAGATACGAATCAGCTTATATATGGCTACTAAGCTGTTAAATGTAACCTAAAGCTAGGAGTTTGTGCTGGTGATGTCGTTCAGAAGAACGATGAGTTGTTTAGCGCATTAATCCAGAGCTCCCTAGCTAAAAGGAGGTTCGTTATACAGGATAGACCCTTTCTAAAACCATGTTGTGCCATGTTCAGCAAATTATTGGTTTCCATAAATGCTGTTATGTTCCGTTTGATTACTCTTTCCAGTATTTTAATTACAACACTGATGAGACTTAAGGTTCTGTAATTTGATGGAACTTGTCATAGACCTGTTTTATATATGGGAGTGACGATTACGTCCTTCTAGTCCATGGGTAACACACCTTGGTCAAGTGACGTTTTGAATATCACAGTCAGTGGGGCTGCGATATATTGGGCAATATGTCTCAAGATTTTAGGGTGTAGTTCATCTGGTCCTGTTGACTTCTCCATGTTTAGGGTGCTAAGAGCCTTAAGCACATCGTTTTGGTCGAAGTCCACGGTGAACAGCTGGTTTGTTGACTCTGCAATTGGGTATGGTTTTTTCTCTAGAGGAGGTTCCTGAGTGAAAACTGCCCCAAAGTAGTTAGCCATAACCTCAGCTTTTTCCTGATCTTCCTCTATCATTTCAGATTCACTTCCTACTTTAATTAAGTTGGGAATCCAATGATGAATCCTTGTTCTGTAGTTTATGTACGAGAATATCCTCTTGGGCTGCTTGAGTGCGGATTTCGCCAGCTGCATTTCATATTTTCTTTGAGCTTCTCGAATTTTAGTTATACACTCGTTTCTTATCGATCTGTAGCGTTCTATCGTACCTGCTGTGCCAAGGCGGATGACAACTTCCCAGCATTTCTTCTTTTGTCTTAGTAAGCGTCGAATATCCCGCCCTATCCAGGGATGTCCGTGCTTCTTTTTCTTTGAGACAGTCCAGGGTATGTATAGCTGAGTTACCCGATTGTATAACTGCCTGAATAGAGTCCATGCTTCTTGTACTGATGCCTTTGAGTCAATTTCCCAGTTTTCAGCCGATGCTGCGGAGTTAATTGCCTGCATATCTGTCTTCCATATGTTAGGACGGGCCGGCGCAATTGTTTGACAAGCCATGAATTTGAATGAGATGACTGCATGGTCACTTCTACCAAGTGGTGGGAGAAAAGCCGTTTGACCAACGTCATCACCGTGTGTGAAGACTAAAGCTAAAAGAGAAGAGTTTCTTAAGTCGTATCTTGTGGGATCTCTAATGTGTTGGAATAATGCTAGTCCAGTCAAGGTTTCTAACAGTTTGGAGTCGAACGACGATATAGATGACTCTACTTCTAAGTTAACTCAGTTTATATATGGTGCATTAAAGTCGCCTACTACAAGGCTTTTACCGTTGTTACACCAGGACTTAAGTTTACTTAGGATAAAATCATCTGCTACACATTCTGGACTGCGATATACTACAACTAATTCAATATCTTGCCTTTGGCATTTCAACTTACATCTCACCAGTTCACATGTCCCTGAAACATGTGCTACTGTCTCAGCTAATCTTATAGTTAGGGTACTTTTCGTGTACACAATAACCCCGCCTCCCCTTCGGTTTAATCTATCAGCCCTATTGGTTATGAAACCAGTCAATTGGATTTCACTATCTAATACTTCTGACGTTAACCAAGTTTCCGAGACAGCGATAACGTCCGGTTTTTCTTTATCCACCACTGACTTCAGCTCCGCCATTTTATTTAGTAGGCTGCGAGCATTTGTGTAGCGCACTTTTAAGTCTGTGGAGAGCTTTCCCTTGCCACCCAGAGTGGCTTGGGGATCGTTTTGCTCCGAACTTTTACAATCTGAAAACCCTTAAGAACGAGGTTTCTTTCACCGTTTCGGCGACGCTTGTTTATTTCCGCTTCTGCAGCTCTTCTCTTAATACGATCATCTAAGCTGAGGTCCTCACGGACATAGATTCCGGATCCAATCAATTTACGTGAATTACTTAGAATCAGGTTCCTTTCTTCCACCGTGTTGAATGTAACCTTTAGGAGGCGGCTTTTCCGAGGACTTTCGGAATCCATCTTTTTTCCTATTCTATCGAGCTTACAAATACTAACTCCTGAAACTGTATCTGGGAGTAGTTTACTTAATGATGTCTTAATATGATTGAGATCATGTTCAAATCTTGCCTTTGGTTCAGTATCTGAAGATTCTCTTATCTTATGAAAAATGACTGATCTATCAGAGAGATCTGTCTTGTCACGCGATGAGGATTTTTCTTCTGATAACATCCCTTACAATGTTTTGCTGACCAGCTGCCTTTTTGCCTACAGCCTTTTTCTTCTTATTTTTTTCTTCTTACCGAAGTCCATTTGTCACCACTCAGAACAGCCACACCTGGACTATGTGGAACGGTGACAGTTTTATCCGGATCTTCTATTTCGACTAGAGGTGTATGACTGCCGATGTCAATAACAAGCGACACTTCATTTCTCGTTAATGTCAACAGAGATTTCACGTTCCCGTCAACCGCAGTCAGGTGTTTAATGGGTCCAGTAGCAGCACTTACTACACTGACACATTCTTCATCGTCAGTGCTCCTGTTATCAGTGCTTCCGCCATCGTTTTTCTTGCAGGCCAAAGCCAATAGGCCCATAGCCTCCTGTATTAGTACCTTTTTATCCGTAAAGCAGAACATACAAAGCCAATGCGAGTTAGGCTTCGAGCATTTTTTGTAAGCCGTCGGACTTAAGCGTGTACACATTTTGTGGTACCACTTTTTACAATCGTCACACTGCATTCCCTCCTCAACGGGGAACAAACAATTTGGTTGCCCACATTTGGGAGTCTTACCAACTATTGTAATTCGATTTAAAAGGTTTAAAAATACAAAATGATCACAATGTGAACACAAGTGTTAGTCAAGGACTAAAAACAGGTACTCAGGACAAAATTTAGCAAAACGTTTCAAACCTTAACCAAAGAACTCTTAGTTAAAGTAGACCAATAATGCTTTTTAGTGCAATAAGTACCAAAAGCAAGTATAAACACAACAAGTACAAAAATCACTGCCCTTTTTGAAACTAATATTTACAATAATAACCAATAAACAATGTGGAGATGCGTATGACATGTACGTTAATAATACACAGTGTGTTATTGCGTGAAAATAGCGGTGATGTGGCATAGCATGACAAACAGAAGTAATGAGAATACCGTCATTTAAAATCTTGGTTTGCTAACAATGATAATAATGTGCATAACTGTTACTGAAGGAGGAAACTGAACTGTTTAATTTTGTGTACAATAAATGGGTAATTAAATAGAGTTTACTCGTTTATTATAGTAACAAAAAAATTTATTATTAATAAAAAAATAAATGTGACAAAACGAATAATTGTGGAAAATGTGATTATGTACACTGTGAAAAGGAAAAAAAAATTTTTTGGTGAAATTAGTAGTGTGTGACATAGGTAGGTGTGTGCTTTGTTTTTTTTAATCGACGAAATGGACATAACGCTTGCGTTTGTTTATAGGTCTGCCGGAGCGTGTTAAACAAGAAGGCTTAGTATTAAGTTTTTTATCCTCCACTAGTCTTTCAGTCACTGGTGAGAGGGGTTGATTGTCAATAGCGTTGTGTTCTTTGACTTGAGTAGCTTCATAGAAAGCATGTTTGATTTTGTCTATAGAAATAGTCTGCTTGTTGCCATCTCTGCTGATGATGAAGTATTTTTGTGTGCGTTCAATTACTTTATATGGACCTTCGTATGGTTGTCTCAATGGTTTTTTAACAGCATCAACTCGAACAAAGACAAACTTGCATGTTTCTAGATTTCTGTCGATTTGTATTCGAATGTTATGTTCACGAGGCGGTATGGCTTTGATCTGTTGCATGGTCTGCAGCAGTTGGCTAGCAAAACGACTTGGTTCCGTTGGTGTTAAAGTGTTTGGGTCTACTAGTTGGCCTAGTAATGTAAGGGTTGTACCATAAACTAGCTCAGCGGCTGTACAACCTATATCTTCCTTTATAGTTGAACGGATACCCAGGAGTACAAGTGGTAATGCGTCACTCCATTTTGTCCTATCATCTTGTGCCATCAGCGAGCTTTTCAATTGGCGGTGAAATCTTTCGACCAAGCCATTAGCTGCTGGGTGGTAGGCTGTTGTTTTGATGTGGTTCACGCCCAGAAGTCTTGTGAATTCCTGAAATAAGATAGATTGAAACTGGTGACCACGGTCGGTAGTGACGATGGGAGGTACTCCGTAATTTGCTATCCAACGGTCAAGGAATACGCCGGCTACTGTTTCTGCGGAAGTATCAGCAATAAAGCATGCTATGTCCCATCTTGTGAACCTGTCCACCGCAGTGAGAATGTGGGTGAAGGAGTTTGACGGAGGCAGTGGCCCAACTAAGTCCAAATGAATATGCTAAAAACGTTTGTTGGGAATAGGGAATTCCCCGATCGGGCTGATAGTGTGTTTTTGGATTTTGCTGCGTTGGCACTGGAGGCAGTTACGTGTCCAACGTTTAACATCCGAATTGATTTTTGGCCAAACAAAGCGTTCTGTGATAAGCCTCGTGGTAGCTCTGATGCCTGGATGCGACAGTCGATTTAGCTGTTGAAATATTTCTCGTCGATAGGGTTGTGGCACAAAGAGGCCATTGTTAACCGTTGAAGTGTCGCAAATAATAGATGCATCTGAGAAAGGAATGGGTACAGGTTTAAGATTCAAGTTAGACTTCTCGTTGCAGATCTTCAAATCTACGTCGTCCACTTGTAGTTTAGCTAAAGCTTCAAGACTGATGTTGTGGTTGTGTACCATCATGTTGATATCCTTTCTAGATAGAGCGTCAGCGACAATGTTGGAGGAGCCTTTGATGAACTGGATGTCCGTAGTGAATTGAGAAATGTAATCCAGTTGTCTGGCTTCCCGTGGAGAATGTTTGTCGTAGGTCGTGTTGAAAGAATAGCAAAGTGGTTTATGATCAGTCATAATGGTGAAATCGCGTCCCTGAAGGAGGAAGTTGAAGTGTTTTACAGCTAAGTACATAGCCGGAAGTTCGCGTCCGAAGGTTCTATAACGCCCTTGAGTTGATGATA